GTCGCTTTAATCACATCCGGAACTGTTGTGTCTTCAGTTATATTCGCACGCGATTTGCAAAACTACTAAAACTGGTGAGTCTTATAGGAGTTGACACTATGAATGAGACATTGAATGCATGTTTGTGTTCAACAGGACAGTGAAGATCTTCCGGCAGCCATTGGTTTCGACATTCAGGAGACCTCTAACTTACCGCAAACTAAGGTCCGTTAAGCTCTGATCACTAGTTTTGTATCAAATATTAACTGATATTTTGTTTGACATAAAGGACGGGCATCTGCCAAATGATATCAAAGATTTCATTCACGGCTTTTTTGAAGCATTTTATAAGATATACGACTCGGACGACAGGCAGGGCTTACTGCAGGCCTATCACGACCAGGCGTTGTTCTCGTTGAGTATCTCACGTCAAGACAATAGGTATGGTATTGACTCAATTGGCATCTCATTTTGCAAATGACTGACTGTTTTGTCTGTTTGCGTATTAAAGTAGTCACAGGTTTGCCGAGAAACAGATCCAAGAGTCGAGAAATCTGTTGCGCGTCAAAGACATCGCCCATCGGAACAAACTGTTGAAAAGCGGCAAAATCCAGATCGTGTCGGCGCTGTGCGATATGCCGCTCACCCGACACGAGGCCGACTCCTTCCAGATAGACGTGCCCTTCTGTAACAACGCGTTTGTGTTGGTTGTGGTGAACGGCGTCTACCGCGAGCTCATCAAAAAGGCTCAGCCATTGCGCGCCTTCTGTCGCACATTCTATATCGTTCCGCAGGGCTCGGGCTTTGTTATAGTGAACGACCTACTGGTGCTCACCAACGCCACCGTCGCTCAGATTCAAAAGTACGGCAAAACTGTGGCTTCAGTGGGCGCTTCCGATAAAGCGATGTCCGATACCATAGAGTCGACCACTAAATGGAAAGGCGGTCCCGGAGTGGGAGTGAGCGGTGGGGCACACGCTCTGACGTCGCCTACTATTAACGTTAACGAGGATGTGATCCAGAGGTTTATGGCGTTGACTCATATGAACCGTTCGTTTGCCACACAATGTCTCGAAGAAAACGGCTTTAATATCGATAAGGCGTTTGAAGTCTATATGGGCCTTAAGGCCCAGAATGCCATTCCCAGCGAAGCCTTTGTTCATTAACGCCAAAAAGTTGTGACCATTTTTTTAAAAGTAAAATCATCATTGTATTTTTCAGTACATTGTCTGTGTTTTAAGTTAAAGCAAAACTTATTTTTTGTTTATTCATCCGATGTTTTGAATCGTAAACTCAAACACTGTTTTTTGNGGAATGGCATTCTGGGCCTTAAGGCCCATATAGACTTCAAACGCCTTATCGATATTAAAGCCGTTTTCTTCGAGACATTGTGTGGCAAACGAACGGTTCATATGAGTCAACGCCATAAACCTCTGGATCACATCCTCGTTAACGTTAATAGTAGGCGACGTCAGAGCGTGTGGCCCACCGCTCACTCCCACTCCGGGACCGCCTTTCCATTTAGTGGTCGACTCTATGGTATCGGACATCGCTTTATCGGAAGCGCCCACTGAAGCCACAGTTTTGCCGTACTTTTGAATCTGAGCGACGGTGGCGTTGGTGAGCACCAGTAGGTCGTTCACTATAACAAAGCCCGAGCCCTGCGGAACGATATAGAATGTGCGACAGAAGGCGCGCAATGGCTGAGCCTTTTTGATGAGCTCGCGGTAGACGCCGTTCACCACAACCAACACAAACGCGTTGTTACAGAAGGGCACGTCTATCTGGAAGGAGTCGGCCTCGTGTCGGGTGAGCGGCATATCGCACAGCGCCGACACGATCTGGATTTTGCCGCTTTTCAANAGACGCCGTTCACCACAACCAACACAAACGCGTTGTTACAGAAGGGCACGTCTATCTGGAAGGAGTCGGCCTCGTGTCGGGTGAGCGGCATATCGCACAGCGCCGACACGATCTGGATTTTGCCGCTTTTCAATAGTTTGTTCCGATGGGCGATGTCTTTGACGCGCAACAGATTTCTCGACTCTTGGATCTGCTTCTCGGCAAACCTGTGACTACTTTAATACGCAAACACACAAAACGGTCAGTCATTTGCAAAATGAGATGCCATTCGAGTCGATACCATACCTATTGTCTTGACGTGAGATACTCAACGAGAACAACGCCTGGTCGTGATAGGCCTGAAGTAAGCCCTGCCTGTCGTCCGAGTCGTATATCTTATAAAATGCTTCAAAAAAGCCGTGAATGAAATCTTTGATATCATTTGGCAGATGTCCGTCCTTTACGTCAAACAAAATATCAGTAAATATTTGATACAAAACTAGTGATCAGAGCTTAACGGACCTTAGTTTGCGGTAAGTTAGAGGTCTCCTGAACGTCGAAACCAATGGCTGCCGGAAGATCTTCACTGTCCTGTTGAGCACAAACATGCATTCAATGTCTCATTCATAGTGTCAACTCCTATAAGACTCACCAGTTTTAGTAGTTTTGCAAATCGCGTGCGAATATAACTGAAGACACAACAGTTCCGGATGTGATTAAAGCGACATTTTGTTTGTTTTATTAATCGAGAAAATCAAATGAAAAAGAGATTTTTGCATAAGATTTCCGATTAAACAGCATTTGTTACCGTAAAATAGAAATTTAAATATCAAAAATGAAAACTAAACTCAAATTGCAAACACAATTAACCAAGGTATTGCTTATTCTAACGGACAATCCCTAAACAAATGATATGTCTTCGGAGTCACAATCAATTCATTTGCATTCGGATATCATATGAATCTCCGGTTTATTTTAAACGCAGTCTTAAGCGCAGTTCAGTCCCTCAGTAAACCCGCTCATAACCGGTCACTACATGCGTCCCAGTAGTGGAGGGCCGGTAGCTCTGCTCGTGCCTCATAGCGTACAAAATATGGCTCTATTTGCCGCCGTCAATGGCTAACGAGTGGTACCGGCCGTCAAGCCATGCTTTCGGCCAAAGAAAGCTGACTCTTATAGCCATTCATACGAATTGATTCGGAATTGCATTCATTTGTGGACTCATTTATAGTAAGACTGCGAAACCACAAGCATTTGATCCGATATTCCGTACAATCAATGACTCAAAGACACAATGAAGACCATATGCTTTAAACTCATTAATCCATTCAAATAGGGGTCGGGAATTGAGTTGAGTTTTCATTAGCGACCAAAACTTATTGCAAAATATAGCCAAAAGTGTGTCAATGGTGTGCCACTCATAGCCTAACCTGATATACACGGCCTGGTCTTCAAACGTCTCGCAAATGGGGTTCCCTTCGAGAGCCAACTCTATTAACTCTAATCCTTTGATAAAATCCAATTCGGATGTGTTTCGGATCTATAAGTAATAATCAAAACACGGATTAAGAATTAATTCAAAAATCAAGTTTTATTATTATTTCAAACCCTGCGCTCAATACCTGATTTTGCGACAAATCAATGGCTTTCAAGGCCTCGCAAACGTTCGCCAATTTCACCAACGGTTCCAATGAACTGAGTTTATTGTCTTTGAGGTTGAGGCCCACGATGTCGGCAGTGTTTTCAATGATAATCGTGATGACAGTGTTCAACATATTTGGTCGACTCAGCGACACATAGAGTCCCAACGATTGCAGATTAGAGTCCTCCCGAAGTCGCGACAAATCCATCACTTTGTTGTTGGCGTCATATCTCTGACTCATCACTAGTTTTATAGTATTCGTCAACTCCTCGTCTATAGGTGTGGGCGGTATAGCCGACCGGTTCACCACTACTATCAGCTTATGGCCCGACGGCGCCGATATTTTACGACTTATGGCTTTGAGAGCGTCGGCCGTTTCCAAACCCAATACGAAGAACACAATGGCATTCCCTTCCGTGTGATACTATCGCACCATTCAATACAAACAATATTAGCACTCATTTCATCAAATCTTAATTATTTCTAATCACAGTCTCGTTATAATCAAGTATTAAGTCTAAGAGTCAACTAAATCCATACATTATAAGGAGTGAACGCCAATTGCATCGAGTCGTGGATCAGCTGCAGAAGTGTCTGTTTATCCATTTTGTTTCCGTGAGGCACCTGTTTATGGCCACAAATATAACGATATTTCAGATTTAATACAAAGCTATAAATTAAACCAAAATATCAAATATAATACAAACCGTTATCTTAAACCACTGACTGTCCGCGTCATCCCGATAGCGATCATTCATCTGATTCATGGCCTGACCGCTGCGTTTGTAAGACATGTTTCTGCGGGCGTTGGGACCCCTCTGTCCACCCGGTCCGCGGCCGCGAGGTTTAGCCCTAAAGCGCAACAAAACACTCGTTAAACATCTTCACGTCAATCGCCTGAACATCACCGAACGGACCAATTGTTAAAACTCCTGTCATTCCTGTCATTTCGCTCATTAGGTCCGACGTCTCTGCGGAGGAATGACTGCGAAGAGTTGAACCCAAAGCGATTGCCACCGCCGGACGACGACTGGCCCTCTTTGGAGGTGAACCGGATTTGTCTGGTGTTGTCATCTCTGCTGAGGTTTACGTTGAGATCGTTGGCCGCCATCTGTCTGTTGTCCTGCCATTTGGTCTGCGGTTTGGGTCCATATCGCGAGCGATACCTTCGGCCCATATTCTGCTGGTTATTGTTGTTATGATAGCTCTGGTCGTCGTTATAGTCACGTGTGAACCCTTCGCCACCGATAAGCACGTGGTGTGTGAGTGTTCGGAGGGAGGGGTGGGGGAGAGGGGGTAACCGAGTATTGTATGAAAATTAGTGACAAATTGAGTGTTAATTGTAATGAATTTGCAAAACAACTCATACTTTGATTACTCATTAAAATAACAGCAAAACAGATGTGGTTTCCGTAACCAGTTGTCGGGTTTTCAACCGTTTATTAACTATTATTAACTAATATTAACTAATTATGACGGTTGCGAATGTACGCTCACTTGTTGCTTGATGTAAATAATAGTTTACTTGTATATAAATAGTGAGTTATAGTAATAAATTAGTTTAATTTCAATTCAATTGAATTAATTGTAAATTTGTTTTTCACAAACAATGCGAGTGTTTTCGTATGGCATTCAGTTATGGCTGAAGTGCTATCATATGAGTCATCAATAATGTCGTCAATCGCTTGTTTGGCTTGCATTTCATAATGTATTCCATTTTATATGTTATTTATATGTAGGGGTTGTTATTAATGTGGACGTTGTTTGTGTGTAAAATGTTAGAAAAGCAAATAGATTTCCAGTTTGCGTGCAATGTCTATGGAAATGGACTAAAACGTTGGACACGAATGCAATTGTTTGTGCCCTTTTTAGATTAACATTGAACACAGAATTTAGATAGCATTGAAAATCTTACTGTCAACTAGTATAACTTATCATTGATAAGAATATTATTGAAAATATAATTTTTTTATTTCATTTAATTTGTACATTAATTGGTTAGTTTTGTTAGCATTTTGTTAGACAATAAGTGATAAAAGTTGTACACAATATACTGACAAATTCAATGGTTAATAGTTCATAGAATGTAATTTTTTATTAGGAATTTCATGTTTTAATATAAGAATAATCAACTTTTATTGTGATATTGTATATTTTATTGACTATATACAATAAATATGGTAATACAGTATTGTAATTTACCGAAAATAGTATTGTTGAATGATCATTTTGATTACATTACTTGACTATTTCAAATATAATGCATTTAAACTTATTGTGCACTCAATTATAAGTTATAATTGATAACACTTTTATATGAAATTTAAATGTTATGAATAGTTTCAATAAGTTTGTTAACAAAATGTTTGTGATTACAATTTTGTATTTAGGTATTTATATGGAAAAAACATTTAACAAATTTAACATTTACATTTTAAATTGCTTATTGAACAGCACCGATAGCTTATGCCAGAAATGATGTGTTCTGTAGAGAATGGGATGCAAACGGACACCGATTTGACTTCGCAACCGATGACTACTTAGTAAATACCGATGCTTTTCAATTGGTTAATATTGGCAATCACTCGTGGAGAGTCCAATACAATGCTACCGGTGCTGCCCATATATCTCTGAGCCCTAATATTACAGGAACCAATAAATATGCCGACAAATTATCCAGTGTTTTATTCATAGTTTTTATAATTATTTTTATAAAGTTTTATCACAAAAGTTGTCAAAAAATTTTGTTTTTATTCCGTTAATTAATGCCAAAGTATTAGCATTTCCTACAAAAAGCACTTTTATCTTAATTATGTCCAATCAAACAAAAATGTCAAAAAAGTTATTAATTGTGATAAAAAGTTCAAAACAAAGCATCCAAAATGAATATAAAGTTATCTAATTTAAAAAGTGATTGAATGTTACAATTTGACAGAAAAAGTTGGCAAAATTTCGCAACAAAACTGTTTGTTCACAACATAAAGCAATTTTGATTTCACTCGAAAAGTATTTAATTTAAACTCAAATTTTTATTTACACATTAGAATCAATGTTATATACAGTATATTGAGTATTCACAGCACATGTATGTCGTAATGGTTAGGCATGAGAAAGTATCGCAAGAATATTCTGGCGACAAATGCCTCTTTATATATACGAGTGCTTGAATGTATAGACATACAATACCAGGCCAACACAGTGGTGTGAGATGTGTGAGCACCGTTATCCACACATTGATATTTGTTATGCATATGCGCACCCGTAATGGTATGAATACAGGCGCCGACCCCGCTATCTAAATGATGCCATTCTGTATACTATTTATATTATCGCTTACCAGTCGTGTGGACAGCCTATACAGCGATAATCTCCGGTAAAACTTTAAAAATCATTTCATTAATGTATTCAAAAAAAAATCTGTCAACAATTGTCGCGTTTATTAGAATTTATTCTCCATTTTCAGTCACTTTTAGTGAGATTTATTGCTTAGTAAGGGCCCACTCCTACATACCTGAGCTTTCACTTGTTTGGCAATTTATTTTGATTTATCCCAAAATCAGTGTATGCTATAGTAAGTACAGTCTATCATAAAAATTCTTGTAAACATAGTTGTATGAAGTTATTTTTCATTATTAATAATGTGGGAAATCAATAATACATTTAATGATAAGCAGAGGTTTAATGTCTAGTCTGAAGACTCTTTAGTTAATAGAGATTCCGGTCTTTTATGGCGGAAAACAACTCTTTGGCAAAGAGAGAGAGGAAATCCTTTTCCATATAACGAATAAATAGTAAAATAAAACATTTTCGGTCAATATTTGTACACAACTTTGTCCATATATTATGCATATTTGCTGAATAAATTACTAGAAATAAGTAAATAAAACTACAAAATCTTTCAGATTTGTCTACGAAATCATGAAAATGCATTATAAAAATAAATTCCAAAAATATTAAAATCTTTAATTTGTTTTCTTAAAAACAGTTAACATTCGTCAGACTAATAAAATAAAATCTTTACATAATCATAACATTGAGACTTGAAGAATGTATTATAATATTTTTAATGCATACAATAAATATAATTTTAATCTAAATATTTGAATTCATTTATCATAAATATAAAACCAAAACATAAATATATTTATAAAGTGATGGTCCTCTTAGGACTATTGGCATAAGTGGAGGACTCGCTTCTCTGTGGCACCACTTCTCCAGTACGGGAGTCCACGGTATGGATAGATGGCAATGAGGCCTCTCTTGATGCGAAAGATGTGCTCGCATGTGATTTTGCATTACTTTTCTCTATAAAGTGGTTATATATTAATCATTTGATTGTGTAAATGACAGTGAATTACTTTTGTTGACCACAAGATAAAAGATTATCATAATGATAGTCGCGATAATCATTGCTATTATGATAGCGCTCAAAATGGGTATAACTGCTGAATTCGTTATGGACTTTAAGGCACTTGTATCTGATGTTGAGTTGATTGCTTGTGTTGTATGCAATCCAATGGGTTTAGTTTGTGGGACTGATTCTGTCGCCGATGGAGCCATCGATTCAATCGTTAATTCTTCCGGAGATTCAATCGTTGATTGAGTTGTCAATTCATCCCCAGATGTACTCATGGACTCAGTGGTCGATTCTGTTGTCGATTCTGTGGTCGACTCAGTGGTCGGTTCAGTCGGTGGTTCAAAAGTGATCGGATCAGAGGAACATACCTCCAATTGAGTCAACCGATCGACTGCACACTAAAAGTGGTTTCAAAATGTCACACAAAACAGAATATTCTGTATAATTAATTGAACGCCTCATAAATGTATACCTGAGGGGCGGCATCACTGTTGTCGGACAGGCACGCCAAGGGATTAGGATAGCCATCAAAAATAACCGCATATTTACTTTGCGCATGAAATGGGAGAATAATATTTATATGAAGTCTTGGGTCCAGATTCTGAATAAACTGCGGTATGTGTTGGCTCAGGGATGAAGTATTATCAGCCAAATTCCTAACGTCCCACGTATACGCTCGGGTCTCTCTATCATAG